TTTTTTTTTTTTTTTTTTTTTTTTTTTTTTTTTTTTTTTTTTTTAATTTATTTTTGCAAAGTTCTTCATAAAAAAATTGTGACCATTAGGGAGGGAATCAATGAGAGTTTAAACCTCCCATCTTAAAAAAGAATACGTCCAAAATGACAGATTGGCAAAAAGCATCATTACCATATAAATGTTTTTACATGAAATTAATGTTTTAGAAAATAATGTTCCAATCATTTATAAATAATTTTTTAAATATGGGAAATTGAAAGTTAAAAAAGAAAAAAAAATAAAAGTAGTTGAGAATTTTGTTCGAGGGGAGGTATTGGATGAAAGTCCCACCTCCGCTAATTTAGGAAATTATCATGGGTTTATAATCAAATAATATTATCTCTAAGAGTCAGCCCAAATGTGACCTGAGGCTCATACGCCAATATTGTTTGCAAAGTTTAAATGTTACTCGGATGACTTTCTCACTAGGTTAGAACAAGTGTAGCACAATCGTTGTCTCGCTACTACAAGAGGCGAAATAGTAATTTTCTCAATTACGTTAAACACTATGATTTTTTTTTTTCGAAATAAATTGTTCAATCACACCTAATGGGGCAACACTTTTTTCCCATTACAATCGATACCTATTTATTAAATGTCGTGTTAAAAAAAAGTAAGTTGATTTTTTAATTTTTGATTGAAATAAAGCTGTTATGATGACGGGTTATATCGAATCGAGTTTAAGTTGATTCATTCATGAAGTGAAGGCTAAAAGGAACATACATGCAATGTATAAATTTCGTTTCCTTCCTCGTTCATCCTCACTATGACAAAAAAAAGGATGTTGAGATCCACTCTTTAGTGGGTCTACTTTATATGTATAAAGTCATACTAAATTTTATGAAAATAGTTCCTCGGGATAAAAATTGTTTAATCACACATAAAACGGAGACAAAGTTTATCAATGATCACCCATGTCGTGTATGGCGTTTGAGTGAAGAAGAAATATACAAATGAATCGAAACTATATCAGAATTAGCTACTATTTATACCAAAAAAGTATATTATTAATTCCAGTAGCTCAGGCTCAACTATAAGAACGTGTAAATTAAGCAAGTTCAACTTGGAACGAAGAGTTGAAAGTAAAGTAAAGTAAGTGGTTTGTCTATAGAGCTAAGTTAGACTATATGTAACCATCCAAACTCATTGATAGCGGATATTGTCTGCTTTGGCTCGTTATGTATCGCCGTCAGCTTCACAGTTTTAAAACACGTCTACTAGGGAGAGGTTTCTACACCCTTATAAGGAATGTTTTGTTCCCCCTCTCCAACCCATATGAGATCTCACAGTCACATTCCCCCTCTCCAACCCATATGAGATCTCACAATCTACCCCCTTGGCACACCGCTCAATGTTACCCCCTTGGCACACCGTCCAATGTTTGACTGCAATATCATTTGTAAGAACCCAAACCCAAACTAACAAATATGGTCTACTTTGACCCATTATGTATCACTTTCGGCCTCAAATAAATATTGTTCACCTCGACCCATCACTATCAATCTCACAATTTTAAAACGCGTATGTTAAGGAGAGGTTTCCATACTCTTATAATGTATAATTTGTTCCTCTTTACGACCCATATGGAATCTCACACATCTAAATGAGAGCAATCTCGAGGATATAAAAATCAAGTTACGCCCGCTTTGTTTAGCAACCTGGACGTAATTGTTTTATCTGAAACCGAAAGTTAAAACAAGTACCAAATTAAGACATAAACCGAAGAAATGGAGAGAAAGGAAAAAGAACATAAATGCAAAGAACATAAATAGGGTAATATTGGGAATGAATAAGTCCATGAACCTTGCCATGGGAAAGAAAAGAAAATAAAATTGTGAAGAATGCAATGAATAATTGCAAAATAAAGAAAAAAACAGACACAAAAGAGGGGGTTTGTTGTATCATAATTGGATTTTATGAAAAAAAAAAAAAAGAAAAATAGAGGGAAAAGGACAGGAGTGCCCTCAATTCCATGGTTTTGGATGATCCTCAGCGCTTATGAGCGGGAATCTCATGGGAAGTCGTTTCTGTCCTCTTCCTTCCCCTCTTTTCCTTTAAAAATGAACACTCACAAAATCTCATTATTTAGTCATACAAACCCAACAACCAGAAGAAGAACAAGCTTAAATTCTCTTCCATGAAAGCTCTCTCTCTCTCTCGCCCTTTTCCTTGCTCCTCCGATGCCACCAAGCTCTCCTCCCGGCCGCCACCACCGCCGCCGGGTATGCATTTCTTTCCTTCCTTCTGTCACTCAAATGGGTTCTCAAAAAGCTAAGATTTTTCTGTGTTTTTACTATCATATCAGCCATAGAACAACAGAATATGTAGAATCAACAAATGGGTCATCGTTTTTAATCCATTTTAACATGCAAAACTCTTAGTAGGTGGCTGTTCATTCAAGGTTGAATCCATCAGGAGTAGCAGAATCATCAAATGCAATGCTATTTCTAAGCCTCCAACTCAAGGTAAACAAACCCATTTCAGGAAGAATCTTTTTTTTTTTTTTGTGTGTGTGTTGTTGATCCTTATATGTCACACTAACCTGCAGAGTACAGCGATGTGCTTCAAAGCGGCGTGCCAGTTATAAAGTGGCAGCAGTTTGTGGAAGATGACATAGAATCAGAAACTACCGCACACGTACTTCCTTTTTCCTTCCATTTGTTTACCTACAAAACTCAGTAAAAACCAACGTGTTTTGTTAATGCATGGTAAACTGGAGTTTAGTCAATGTCAGAGTTATCTTGGTTGTGCTTACTTGTCAATCATGCACTCATTTGGGCATCTCGAGACATTGTTTCTCCTTGCCCTGCTGCATGTGATGGGATTGGGCTAACTCAAAATTTGAAATGGTTTCTTATTATTTTATTGTTCAATATGGTCAGGTGTTGATTTCTAAAGAGATAGAGGAGAGAGTGAACCGGATAAAGTCAATGCTGAGCTCGATGGACGACGGTGACATAAGCATCTCGGCTTATGACACGGCCTGGGTGGCGCTAATACCGAGAGTTCTTGATGGTGTTAAGACTCCGTTGTTCCCTTCTTCGCTTGAATGGATAGCACAGAATCAACTCCCTGATGGGTCGTGGGGCGACAGTGGAATATTCTCAGCTCATGATCGAATTCTCAGTACCTTGGCTTGTGTTTTGGCGTTGAATTCATGGAAGCTCCACCCTGACAAGTCTGAGAAAGGCATGGTTTTCTTAAACAAAAACATTTCCAAGCTGGAAGATGAGAACGCCGAGCACATGCTGATTGGGTTTGAGGTTGCCTTCCCGTCGTTGATGGAGTTTGCTAAAAGGTTGAACCTCCAAGTCCCCACGGACTCGCCGGTGCTGCAAGAGATTAACCACAGAAGGAGCATAAAGTTAACAAGGTATTAATGAATTTAAATTCAGATGAAACCCTTTTGAAGGCACTAAGAAATGTGTGTTCAAAACAGGATACCAAAGGAAATAATGCATAAAGTGCCCACTACGTTATTGCATAGTTTGGAAGGGATGGAAGGCATGGAGGGTTTGGATTGGGGAATGCTTCTGAAATTGCAGGCTCCAGATGGGTCTTTCTTGAAATCTCCTGCTTCCACTGCCTTTGCATTCATGAAAACCAATAACTCAAATTGCTTCAAATATTTGGAATCGGTTGTCAGCCGCTTTAATGGCGGAGGTAAAATCTTCAACCTTCTTTTGCTGTATATCCATATTTGGGGCGGACCCATTGAATAAATTTACAAACTTTCTTGCTTTATTTCTTGATCTCATCATTATTGTCGCTTTCCAGTACCCAATGTGTACCCCGTGGATTTGTTCGAACATATTTGGGCTGTGGATAGATTACAACGACTTGGGGTTTCAAGATTTTTTCACCCAGAAATCGTTGAGTCTGTGGATTATTTGCGGAGGTACTGTTGAGTTTGGTTAAGAACACTGTAATCCAGAGGTTGAGATTGATATCTGTTCTAATGTTCTTGGTGCAGACATTGGACTGATAAAGGGATATGTTGGGCAAGAGATGTGGAGTTTTATGATATCGACGACACCGCCATGGGATTCAAACTTCTCCGGCTGTTCGGCCACGAAGTTTCTGCAGGTAAGATTGAAAGCAATTGTTAATGGCTTTGAACAATGATAAAGGGATTGATTATTACAGAGGTGTTCAAGAATTTCGAGAAAGATGGGGAGTTTGTGTGCATAGCGGGGCAATCGACGCAGGCGGTGACCGGGATGTTCAACCTGTACCGGGCTTCCGATCAGGTAATGTTCCCGGGGGAGAAAATTCTGGAGGATGCAAAGCAATTTTCCTACAAATTCCTCAGAGAGAAACAGGCTGCTGATGAGCTTTTGGACAAGTGGATCATCACCAAGGACTTGCCTGGAGAGGTCAAAATTTAAGCTTTGCTTGTCAAATCACATCATCAAGTTCTTAACTTTTTTATCAAAAGCTACTAATCAATGTTCATATCAATAACATCGTATTCATGAAAGATATCAAAGATATTGGTTACTTCCTATTAACGGGTATATCGACGGGTATCGTAAACGTTTTGTAGGTTGGTTATGCTCTTGATGTTCCATGGTTTGCGAGTTTACCTCGGGTCGAGACTCGTTACTTCATAGAACAGTATGGTGGGGAAAATGATATTTGGATAGGCAAAACTCTCTACAGGTCTCTACTCCTTTATAAAGCTATTTTGAATTATTTACATGCAAAAACATGAGCTACTTAATGAATGAATGAATGAATGTATCATTATAATTGCAGGATGTTCAAGGTAAACAATGACACATACTTGGAGCTTGCAAAATTGGACTACAACAAATGCCAACTATTGCATCAGAATGAGTGGGTTGATATTCAAAAGTAAGAGCGATTACTATTCTTATTGTTTCTTTATGCTTAAGAAATTGATGGATTAGTTAAGGGTTCTTTCTCGCGGCGCAGATGGTACACAGAGAACAATCTGAGAGATTATGGAATGAGAAGAACCAGCCTTTTGTTCTCATATTTTGGTGCAGCGTGTAGCATTTTCGAACCAGAGAGGGCTAAGGAGAGGCTTGCATGGACCAAAACGGCTGCGTTGGTCGGAGCCATTGAGTCCCATTTCAAGGACGCCAATGCTGACCAACGACGAGCCTTCATCCAACAATTCATAAACTTCGATGCAATAGATCAAGCCTACGATACTAATGCGTGGTACACTTCTCCTTTTTCTTCAATAAAAAAGTTCAATATTTTCAATTGCTTACCATTATGTGGGAAAGTTTGTGGCATCCTATGTCTCTATTTGTGTCAATATGTTTGTGGATGCTTGTGTTTCAATCTATATGCTTGTACAACCATAGTGGGGTTTTTGTTTTATGCTTTGTCAAACTGCAAATAACAGCCTACAACATAAAAATATATTATCTTAAACAGTTCTAAACATATGCCTTCAAAGCTTTGAAGTTACCAAGAAAGTTTGGATCCAAGTATATCTCCTATCTGACAAAAAATGAAAAGAAAACAGGCATATAAGTTAACAATAAAAACCTCTAGCCTTTATCATAATCTACCAACTCCTTTAATTACTATTATAACATTATTAACACTTTTGGAGAAATTCGGCCGAACATTGCCGGACCTTATTCCATAACATTCCTACATGTTTGTCTTGTATTGCCTTCTCTGTTTTCTACAAATTTTCAAAAGGTAAAACGAAAGAAAATCCTGTTCTTGGTTAGTAAGAAGAAGAAGAAGAAGAAGTTGGGTTGGGTGGAAAATGAAGTCATGTATGGTGTCATGTGGTAGAAAGAATAAAGCTGATATGGTTTGAAAAGTGGCTGATTTTGGGATTTGTTTTAACAGGAGGGCAGGCAATGTGCAGCAAAAGGGAGGAGGACAAGGACTAGTTGGGATTTTGCTTCGAACTCTAACGAGTATCTCGTTGGATATATTGGTGTCGCATGGTTTCGACATCACCCACCATTTGCATCAAGCTGTGAGAGTTTATTTTGCTTTGTTTACATCATCATCTCCTTGCATTCACAACTCCATAATGCCATTCAACTCTTTACTGCATTCGTGTCTCAACTTTTTCTAATAGTAGCTAATGTTAGGAATCACGGCCCTCCACAATGGTATGATATTGTCTACTTTTGAGCATAAGCTCTCATGGCTTTACTTTGGGCTTCCCCAAAAGGCCTCATACCAATGGAGATGTATTTCTTACTTATAAACCCATGATCATTCCCTAAATTAGCCAATGCGGGACTCCCTCCCAACGATCCTCAACAACTAATTCCTTCATACTCCATACCTATCAATATCTACACATATTTGAGTAGACATGAAGTAGACAATACAAAAGAATTTATGTCCATTGGCATAGGGCCAAAAGAATGCAGCTAACTAGCTAACTAGCTACCTAGCTAACTTTGAATATTTTAATTTGGTATTTGGTATTTGCTACATGAAAATTAATGATTAATGTTTTCATTGATTAACATATAGTGGGAGAAATGGCTGTTTAAGTGGCAAGAAGATGGAGATGTGCACAAGGAAGAGGCAGAGTTATTGGTGGGAACAATAATTCTCAACTCAGGCTGTTCAACTTTGGAGGATCTGTTGTCCAATCCTCAATATCAGAAGCTTTCCTACCTCACAAACAAAGTGTGCCATCAACTAGGTCACTTTAAAAAGCACAAGGTTAGTGTTTTATACAGAGGTACAACCCACTGCACACCACATAATAAAAAGATTATATTCCCCACCCCTTTTCCCCCTTAATTCATTCATTACATTGACCTTTCCCTTTCCTTTCCCCCCAGCTTAATCTTTGGCCTCCTTAAACACTCAAGAATAGGTTTTTTACTGTGGGTCAACACGAAAAGACTCAATTCTCGAGAAAACTGACCCTTGTCTTATTTTGTCAGGTAACGAACGGTGGGATTTATAAGGAGAAAACAGAGAACAAAATGCCCCCAGAGATAGAAGAAGACATGAGGAAACTTATGCAGATGGTGATCCAAAACTCCTCAGATGGCAATGACATTGACTCACCAATCAAGAACACATTTCTAACGGTAGCAAAAAGTTCGTACTATGCAGCCTATTTCGATCCTTGGACTATCAACTACCACATTGCCAAGGTCCTATTTGAAAGAGTCTTCTAATCCTAGCTAGCTAGCCACACAGCACAGCCATGTTGTATTGTCAATTTTTGTATATCCTTCACCACATGGAATACAAAAACTTTGGTCTGCGTTTTGTTTGTCAATGAAAAACATCATCTTTGAAAACCCAAATCATAGCCGCTTTGACAGCAATTTAATGTGAGACAACTCGATCGATGGATATAGATTTGAATGTCTTCTAAACAATTGGTCTAGTAGTTATTAGGATAAGGTAGATTGTAGGTAGCCGTAATAGGATAAGCCACATAGAAATGTTTGAAGGGAAATCCTTTGAATTTTCTGTTGTTGTAATAGTTTTTCCTGTTTAGTCTAATGAAACAATGGCAGACAAAGTGTCACATACAAACACGTGAAGTGTTTGGGTTAATAAGTGGAGTCTCTCAAAACCTATAAATATATATACATTGATATATATAGATTCCCTAAGATTAGGCTTCCGGATGTGGAAAAGAGCATCAACAAATACTTGGTATTTTCTAACCTCTTTCCTTCTATTAGTACAATGGAATTGGTACCTTGTAATACACAGTTATGCTGACCACGTTTGTGGTTGAGCTTCGATGTGCCTTTTTGATTTGGAGTTTCAACCGCAAAATGGAGAGTAGAAAGTCAAAGAATGCACCAGTGGATGGAAGGTGCTACCAACAACTGTAGAGCTTAAACTAAGAGTTTGATAGAATTTTGGTTGTCTTAGAAGCATGCCACGACCCTGCACACTGGAACCAACCTTTTCTATATAGTTGTGAGCTAGAGGGTAAGGGTCCCGAAAACTTGTTAGGGAGAGGTTTCTACACCGCTATAAAGAATGTTTCGTTTTCCTCCCCAACCGATTGGGATCTCGTAATCCACCCTCCTTCGGGGCCCAGCGTCCTTGCTGGCACTCGTTCCCTTATCCAATCGATGTGGGATCCCCAATCCACCCCCTAGGGGGCCCAACGTCCCTGCTGACACACCGCCTCGTGTCCACCCCCTTTGGGGTTCAGTCTCCTTACTGGCACATTGTTCCGTGTTTGGCTCTAATACCATTTGTAATGGTCTAATCCCACCGCTAGCAGATATTGTCCTCTTTGAGCTTTTCCTTTCAGACTTTCCCTTAAGATTTTTAAAACCTGTCTGTTAGGGAGAGGTTTCTACACCTTTATAAAAAATGTTTCGTTTCCTCTCCAACCGACGTGCGATCTCATAATCCACCCCCCTTCGAGGCTCAGCGTCCTCGCTGGCACTCGTACCTTTCTCCAATCGATGTGGGACCCCCCAATCCACCCCTTACGGGGCCCAACGTCCTTGCTGGCACACTGCCTCATGACCACCCCCCTTCACTGGCACATCGTAGGTGTTTGGCTTTGATACCATTTGTAACGACCTAAACCTACCGCTAGCAGATATTGTCCTTTTTGGGATTTCCCTTTCGGACTTCCCCTCAAGGTTTTTAAAACGCATCTTTTAGAGAGAGGTTTCTACACCCTTATAAAGAATATTTCGTTCTCCTCCCCAACCGACACACTTGTAAACACTAGTTCACTCATGAATTTCTCTTCTTTTATTTTTTTATTTTATTTTTTTTTTTTGTGAAATTTAGCTAAGAAATCTTATTTTTCTTTAAGAAGGGTGAAAAACTATAAGTAAAGAAATGGTAAGAAAACAACGATGAACGAACAAAATCATAAATGGGGCAAAATAAATTTATTTTCAATGCTCTGCGTTCAAATCAATAAAGAACAAGAGGATGGTTTAGGAATCTGAACTTCTAATTTCAAATCATGCAAAAGTTTCAGATGTTAAAGTCCAATTCATTTAATATAATCTCAATACATCCATGGAGTGACTGTGGGATTTGGTGCACTTTTATTCTCAGCTTCCCTATCGAATGTATCTACCCATAGTGCTGATGAACACATTGATTGGGACATATGGATTGTCATCAACTAAAAACCAATAACGAAAAATATCTAGTACAGACATTGCAACTCTGGAGGTTGATATGATTGATTTCATTTTCAGACAAACATGATGCATTCACGAATCCTATATAGCATCAGTGCCACTTCATATCGTTAGATGCTATTGTAGGCAGTCAAATTTGAGCATAAATCATGAACAAATCTCAACATCTAATACTCATAGAATGAAGAGGTATCTATCTAAACATTCAGGATAGCAAAGTCTTAACACATAATGCTTATAGAAACGACAGAAAGAATGTAAGGATGCAATGTGTCGGCAATAACAAAATCAATGGATTCGATAAGGACTGACCAGTGGCATTGCATGGGGAGGCAGGGGAAGCCCACATTGAGGTCTCCATCCGAGATGGGCTGGCATAATTGGCTGTCTCTGTGTGGCGGTTTCATTTGATACGGCTAAGTGTTGGACAATCTGGGGTCCTGGGATATGGGAACAAGGCATTTTTATGATTACAGAAACAGAGAGAGCTGGGGAAGAAGACAAACAAGAAATGGGTTGCTCCCATTTTGATTGTGCCTTCCATTCTCTCCATATTTGCTTGTTTTCGTTGACGGTGAATGGAAGAAGCATCATCGTTGAGTTTCATGCAGTTGAGGTTCGGTGAAGAGAGTTCGAACCCAACAAAGTTCTTGGGCTCAACCCAACGCAAAGAAGCTTAATCTGGGCCGCTACAAAGATAACCATTCGTGAAGGAAAAATGGAGCCCCATATGGGATTAGTTTGGTTGTATGGGTAACCCAACCAACTCGATTAAAGTTAACTTAGCCCAACTCAATTACGAGCCATAATAGATTACTAATATCAATTACAAACGTTAAATATTTTTAATAATTAAAGTAGGGGGCTTTGTTTTGGGCTCTCCAAAAAGCTTTATACCAATAGATATAGTATTTTTTTATTATAAACCCACGATCATTCCCTAAATTAACTGATGTGGGACTTTCATCAACACTTCTCCTTGAACAAAATATGTTTTCCCTTAATCGAGACTCGACTCGTTTTCTTTTAGAGTATTAGTCATTTTTTATTATGCCTACTCCTTTTCTTCAACATTTAAAAATTCTATCGACATGGCTAAGCTTAGAGCATGACTCTACTCTCCACAATAATATAATATTGTCTATTATTTGAACCTAACCTCTACTTAGCTTTGGTTTGGGCTTGGTTGAGGTATAAGAAACTGATGGGGTATGGCTCAGCCGGTGCATCGAATTTTGTGGGCCACGAAGTTTATCCTTTGCTAAGCTTACTGGAACTCCCCAATTCGGCAGCTCAGCTCCATGCCGCCATAATTAGCAGACTACTTGGAAGTGGCCGCCATACAAAACCCAAATCTATGGGAACTGTTTCTCTATTCCTCGCAACGTCCCTACGATCGCACCATTTTCCTTCAACACAAACCCTTCTTTCTAACTTCGCAGCTTCGTCGCAAGTCGTTTCGTTTACTCCCAAATGCACTAGATTCCGCCGGAAAAGCGTGGTTTTCGGTAAGCAATCAAGCAACGAGGATGAATCTCAGTTTCTAGATGAAAATGGTGCCGTCAATGATATGGATGGATATTTGAATTACCACTCTTTCGAATATGACTCCGTTTGGGATACAAAGCCTTCTTGGTTAGCTATCTTATCCTGTTTTTTCATCGTTGATTTTGAGCAACTATCTAAAATTTGCTGTGATCTCTGTTTCTTTGAACTTTTAGGCTATCTAGAATTAGGTTTTCAGAGAAACCCTATATTAGGATTTTTGAATTAGTGCTAGCCAATCGATGAATTATGAATTTTTTCAACTCGGATTCTGGATATAACATGGTGGGTCAGGTACATTTGGAGTTCTAGTTGAAGAAGTCGAATGACCAATTGTGAATTGATTACTTAACTGGAATTATGCTGTTCTTCTTTAAACATATCACTTATTGCTTACTGTTTCTATCCACAAGCATGTGCTGATATAGTTTATGGCGTTGGTGTTCATCTCTTCATAATCTGGTCATAATTGGCATGTTTCTGTAGAGAATCCTCCTGATAGGCAAAATAACATGTTAATCTACAAGATTCTCTGTTCATAATTAAAAAAAAAAAAAAAAAAAAAAAAAAAAAAAAAAAAAAAAAAAAAAAAA